GGAAGCTGTTTTGAATGTGACAGCTTGTTGCACAGAGCTCTATCCCTGGCCCCATTCAGCTGTCAGCCACAATATTTCATAGCTGCAAGCTGAATTGAGACAGTAGGGTCTGGGAATAGTGTTGATTTCGTCATCCAGGTCTGCCTTCCTTTTGATTGACTGTTGATCGCAGCAAGCAGACTTGGAAGGTGCTTTTGAACTGAATAGTGGCTATGGATCCACCCACTGTTAATCAACAGTAAGTTAAACCTGATGGGGAACTAGTCTTAAATTTCCTCATCAGGCTTTGCCCACCACACTACAAAATTCCTCAGCTCTGTGCCTGCTAGTGTGATGGCCAGGGAGGGAGGGAGCTTTGCACTGACAGAATGATGTACCTATTTGACAGGTACATAATTCTCCCGCAAGCACATACTATTTCTGTGTAGCCACATAGCAGAATTCTAAAGGATGTTTGACGTCCTTTATGAATTTCCTACGTTATCTATTTTCTTGCTTTCTTTGCGACAAACCTGCAGTGAGTAGTTGTCTGTCCATGTTAACTAATATCACTGCTTAATGGGTCAGGCCAGTATGTCCGTGGATTCCCTATGGAGTTATTGGTCCAAACTTGAGGCAGTTTGCCTGCCCGATCTCTTTAACGCACAGTTTTGAGGGCTTTGCATGCTTTTGCTGGGTTATGGTTCCTCTGGTTGTGGGAGCTTTTGCTACTGTAACACTTGTTTCCAGGTTTGCTTATATTTATGTGCCATGCAAATTAGCCTCATTGTTGGAGCCCTCCTTTTTTTTTTTTTCCTCTTTGGGCTGTAGAAGAGAATTGTTTTCCATTCTAAAATTTCCTTTTCCCTAGCCTAATTGCACAACTCTAATTTAGCACTTTATGGAGTGAGTGCGTGCCCTGCACTTCTGCCATGTCATGAGCTAGTAACTGCAAACATTATTAGTTTTTTACCAATTCACTGTTTGGCTTATCAGCTGCTAAGTCCTGCGATCATCAATTGCAAGATGTAAATAAACGTTGTGGTATATACTACTATTTGTGAAACATCTCTTCCACTGCATCAGCAGTTGTTCTCTCTGATTGATGTATGCATGAATTATTTTTTCTCCATTGCGTGCAAATATGAAAACTATTTTTTTCTTTTCCTGATGTGTACAAGAATAAACAAGTTGATGTATGTGTTGTGGTTGTATGTACCATTTCACACTGGTGCCTTCGCTTCTAGTAATCAATCCTGCCCTCTTTCCAGTGATGTCATGTCTCTAAGCTTCTGGCGCCATATTTGTTGGGTGTATACAGCGATTTTCTTGCTGTGTAATGTAGTGCATTGTCATGGATAGATCATGGCATCTCACTGGTAGAGATGTAGAATGCAGTGCAGTGTTTTTTCTCCAGCAGCTGGGCAGCTATAAAAATCTGTTAGGTGCAACACCCACTAAAAAATGCCTAGTTGGAAGTCTGTCAGCTTAAAGATGAACTCCAGAAAAAAACTTTACAGTGTTGTATAGGATATGTGTGGACCTATTGGTGATAATGTTGGCAAATACTTATCACATCTATTCCCTATGTTTGGTCATGTTTTACTTATGCTCACACAGTTCCTCAACCCCTGAAAATACACAAGATATGGTTACTTTGTGTTTCTTGCTTTATAGTTACTATGTTCAGATGCTGAGAAGTAATGGTGATTGCTTGCATGATGAAAGTGCACTTGGCACTATTCAGAGAACAAATATGTCTCTTTGAGAGCAATGGTAGTATAGCCTATCTAAAGTTGCAGTCCATGTACAAATCTGCCTTGGATCGCTGATAAACAGATTCACGTGCTGGACAGTTAACCCATATTCACTCCTATCCTCTGGGTCAGGATGCCTCTGTGGATCCGTTTTTAGATGTGAGCTCTACTATGTCTCTAGAAAAAAACTATTTTAGATCATAGCTACATTTGAAAGGTGAGGAGTATCAGGAGTTTCCCTTTAAGAACTGTTAATCGTTCCTGCTCATGATTTTACTATGTGTGGATCAAGGTCTGTTAGTTTCGTTCAATGTACTGGCTGAAAAAAGTACAGTATCAGACTCAGATCGCATGGGTGGCAAGCACGCACCCACCCATGTCCTCTCCTCCAGAGTATCTCTGATTTCCATCAAGTTGATAGGTTAGCGTATAATCACCTAATATCCAGATTGAGTTTGTTTTTGTTGCACATTCGGAGGACCCCTTGGATAAAATGTTGCAAGAAAGGCCTATTGCATATCCCCTTTGCTTTGAGGATGCAGCTTTCGGTAAACCCTGGTCAGCATTGTAAAAGACATCACCACACGAAAGACTGTTTTCTTATTTGTACATTACAGGGCACAGAAGGATCTATTCTGGGACTGTTGAGTTATTCTTCACCTACAGGTGATTTGACACTGGCAAATGACATAACCTCTCCCAATCCCAGCATTGCTTTTTTGCTAGTGTCCGTAGGTAATGGACTTGTCCCTCTAAATTATGTAATGTTTCTCTACTAATACACACTACTTCTACTGCATTGAGTTGCTGAGTCTTCGTGATCTATCGGGGTGTGATCCGGATAACTGCCACTGCTCTAGAGGGCTGTATCTTGACCCCGTGGAGAAGAATAGACAAGGATGGGTTTCTTTGGAGTTATGTCATCTTGCACAGCCTGTCTAACAGCTTGGGTTTGCAGCTGGAGCCAGTTGTGCTATTCAATACTAGGCAATGCTTCCTTAGTGTCAGGGAGACAGTAGCTAAATGTACGAGGTGGTTTAAAAAAGTTTTGAATCTAGTTTTGTAACATGCCAACAGATGACGGCACAAGGCTGCACTCAGTCACAGGGATAACCAACCTTCATAGATTAGTGTGCCAAAATACATCCTGTGTACATCAGGAGCTGTGAAACTGGTGCTCTTCTGACCATGTGTGTTACCACATCTGACATTTCATCATGAAAGCAAGTTCAAGCAAAGAACAAACGTGAAATTCTGCATGAAACCTGTACACCCAGGTTTGGTCACCGGTAACTATCCTCGACATGAAGGACGGCACGCTGGATTGTTAGATGATAATCGTGCACAAGTTGCCTAATGGTTTCAACATTTTGGAGGTTGAGCTCGTTGAAAGTCTTCCTGATTTCTCATAGTCTTCCAATGATGTTCTCCGTTTCTTGAAGCGCACATGCCACTCAAAACACCTCGAACGACTCATTGCAGCACGCTGTGAACTTGCTGAATCATGTCAAACGTCTCTATAGCAGATATGCCCAGTTTCACATAGAATGTCACATTTGCGGTTTGTATTAACTTACTGTCAATTATGAAATAGCAGATGTAGTAACGCACATGGTCAGAATAGCACCAGTTGCACAGCTTCCAATGTACACAGGCCGATGTCTTTTGGCACACTTAAGGTCAGTGCTCCCTATGAATGTGCATATGCAGCCTTGTGCTGCCATCTGTTGGCATGTTAAACTGGTCTCAAAACATTTTGATACCACATCGTAAGTGTGCTTTATTTATTTATTTTTTTTTATTGTGTAAATAAACTTAAGGTTTTACACTATTGGCACTCTGTTTTTCACCTGTGGTCGTGTATGGGCGATAAGTATTTGCTGGAGATGAATAACCCTTTGTGTACAGGAGGAGGAGTTGAGACAAATTAGATATAGTGATTTTGCTGGGAATTGAGAAGATTGATTGAATATTAAAACTGCATATTTTGTGGGGTTTTTTTTTTAGTTTGAAGTTACATGTTCTATCTGTTTGTAGGGTGGAACATGACAGATAGTACAGGGAGACTTCTCCCCGTGCTATCTGTCAGATTTGAGAACAACGCCCACATGACCGCGTCATTCATTTACGGACTTCTGTGAATTAATGAACTGCAAGTCCTGACAGCCTTAGTGGCCGTGGGCTTGTAGTTTTCAATGAACTACCACGTCACTGTGGAGTACCGTGGTAGTTCATTCAAGCTTCCTGTCAGAATATCTGCTTGGCCATACATCTTGTATGGCAAGCAGATATTCTGACAGGTCTGCAGGAGACTTTCATGTGATCAGCGATCTACTGACCGCAGGTGCAATGCTTTCCAGGCTCCATTGGACAAAAATAATAAATGCACATTTTTTTACCTGCAAAAAAATGTGCATTTATTATTTTTGACCAAAAAGGTGAAATTATCCTTAAAATTTACCTAGTGTGGAAGAGGCACTGAGAAGATTTTACATTGCGTACTAGCACTGTGGCGCCATTATTTTTAGATTTAAGATACCATTTTATATTTTTTCCTCTTTGTTACACCGGACAGTTTTTGAATTTATATGAACTATCACTTCAATATATGTACTTGGCACATGAGCAAAACGTTTTTTTTTTTTTTTTTTTTTAATGAGCTTTTTTTGTATTTATTTTTTTCACATAGTTATTACTTTCAAATTGGTCACATTAAATATTTTTTGATGAAATGTACGCATTGGTTTATACATGTCGGATGAATTTTATTTATTGTTTATAGACCTAGCAGTCACAGTTTTGACGTTTTTTGATTTCTTCAGCCTAGTCTGGATCAGTGTTTGACCTTGAGTACCACCAAGGCCAGCTCTCAGCCCTTGCGATTTTTTTTTTTTTTTTTTTTTTTTTTTTTTTTTTTTCCCCAAGGCCATTTTAGTTTTATTCCTTAGCGAAGCACTTGTAAACTGTGTGCAGAATCCCTTGTGCTGCTACACAGAGAAAATATTGTCGAGGCCTCTCTTATTTCCAGTGTCCAATTCTCCTGTAGACTGTAGTGTAACCCAACAGAAGTCTTGTGACACTTAACGGACTTCACGAAAAGGATTTTATGAGGCATACAAATTTTTTTTTCTGGCTGCAATTGGTTGCCTCTGGAATTTTTAAAATATGTCTATCCTTTGTTATTTCTTAGTCTTAAAACATTCACGTGGTCAAATATAATGCTAGTTCTTGTTCTTTTTTGTATTTTTTTTTTTTTTTATTTAGCCCTCTTTTGGTTATCATATAATTTCTCCTGAGAAGCAAGAACCTTTTCCACTGCTGAGGAAGTTAGAAATCTCTGAAAATTTAGAACATGACGACACCATACAGTTTTGTGATGATACCCTAACTCCAGGTTTGTAAATATGTCATTAAGTTAACTTCTGTTGTAGAGCTCATGTATTTGAGTTGCCTAGCATGGGCGGTTGCTTGGCATTGTTTTAATGCGTGGTTAGCGTCCATTAAAAAAAAAGAAAAAAGTAATCTTTTGAAAATGTGAACGTTTACAAGCACTTTAATTTACCTTCTACAAGATATTGCATATCTCATATTTAGGCTGCATTCACATCTGAAAATACACTGGAGGAAGGCTCTTCTAAGTGTAGTAACTTAGGCTGTTTATTAGGACACAAGATTAAAAACATGTACACTGTAACAGAGGGCACAGGCGCCTCAAAAACCAACCAAGCTTCTGTCAGTGTCAATAAGGGCCCGCACGGCCGACTAGTGGCTGTGGGAATGGTGGAACGCAGGAACCAAGATGGCCACCACACTTCCAGGATTCCCATTCATTTCAATGGACCTGTCATATCTGAATGTCAACAGGGGCCATTGAATTGAATGGTGTTTTGTTTGAGCTTCAAGCTACTAAACACTCAAGTGTGAGTGCCTGTAATTTTTTCTCCTATACCAGTCTTGAGAAGATGGACTTTATATTTGAATATACAGCATTTGGAATACGTGAAAAAAATTTAATTTAAATATGTCCATAGCCCTAGTTTAGTTTAGTAATTGCTTTAAATAATATAGCCTTGTATAATTGTGTTATGCTGTGTATGTAACTTACCTATTTAAAAAAAAAAAGGCATTTTAAATCATATTTCCCTGTTTTAATGTAATGCAGAGGACCTTGCATGTTTAGCAGATAAGAAGCTTGCATCAGCCACATTCGACATGAGAACCCCAGCAAAAAAGTCTAATTCAGATAGACAAGAAGAACAACACAAGGAAAGTTTTACCTCAAACCCAGAGGTATGGCTTGATTTTTTTTTCCCATTAAGATTATCATGGTATTTTACTACTCAATTTTTCAAAGCAAACCCAAACTTTTATGTACTTCTAGAAGAACTCCAGTTTAGATTTTTTTTTAATCAAAGTACTATTAAGCCCAAAACCAACATTTTATATTTTGCAGTTTGCTGATCATTAAATGTGGTGGCTGCATCAGTTTTCTTCTATTTGGCTTTTTTTTTCTTCTCCGTTTTCAACTGATGATCTGGCCAGTAACAGCCCTCATGTATGCATAAATTAAGTTGGTTCAGTGTTATAAACAGGTTGCGTGGGGACCATCCGTGGACAGCCATTTTCAGGTCTCTCTAGAGATGCTCAATAGGGCACTGGTTAGGCCACTCTAGGACAATATTGGAGTTGTCCCTTTAGCCACTCCTGTGTTGTCTTGGCTTTGTGCTTAGGATCATTGTCAAGTTAGAAGGTGAAACTTTGACCTAGTCTGAGATCCTGAGCATTGTGGACCAGGTTTTCATTGAGTATATCTCTATACTTTGGTCATGGTTGACGGAATGCGAAACGGAGCAGTCTCCCAGTCCCTCCTGCTGAAAAACATCCCCACAGTATGATGTTAACACCACCATGCTTCACTGTTGGAATGGTTTTGGGAAGGTGATAAGCAGTGCCTGGTTTCCTCCAGAGATAATGTTTAAAATAGAGGCCAAACTGTTCAATCCTGCAGGTGTTTTTTTGTGAACTTCAAGCGAGCTTTCATGTGCTTTGCACTGAGGAGAGGATTCAGTCTAGCTAATCTGCCATTAAAAAACTTGGTGGAGGGCTGCAGTGTTGGTTGTCCTTCTGGAACTTTGTCACATCTCCGCACAGGTTCTCAGAAGCTCAGTCTGAGTGATAATCGGGCTCTTGGTCACCTCTTACTAAGGCCTATTCTCCCTCGATTGCTCACTTTTGGCTAGGTGACCATCTCATGGAAGAGTCCTGGTTGTGCCAAACGTCTTCCATTAAAGAATTGTGGAGGCCACTATGCTGTTGGAAATCTTCAGTGCAGCAGAAATTTCTTTGTAGCCTTCCCAAATCTGTGCCTTACAATAATCCTGTCTCAGAGCTCTCCAGGCAGTTCTGTTGACCTCATGCCTTTTTGCTCTGATACAGTATCGCTTTGTTTGCACACTTCATTCACCCCAAACTGGCTCCTCCAATGATTCCTCCAGATCCATGGAAAGTAATTACCAGGGATAGAAACTGAATAGTGTATTAACTTTTTTTTAAAAGGAATTCCTACACATTAAAATTCAGTTACAGAATCACAAATTAGGACTCATTCTAACTCCATGCATGCATGTGCCCCAAACCCAGAAGAAGGCAAAATGCGTGTATGTATACGTGACTATACCTCCCCGCTTCAGCAAATGTACACCAGACTGGGATGTGTGGGCTGGAGCAGCATGGCGTAGGGTGCATTTCTAGGAGCTCCATCCAAGACTCATCCGTTTCTGCTGATCCTGCGCGATATCCTGCTTAGTCACACCCGGTATGCCCGCTGACCTCTCTTCTGCCCTCCTGCACCATGTCGCTGCCAAAAAAAGTTGCTGGCGCTAGCGGCAAACTTAATACGTTTCGCCATAAGGTGAAAGACACTACAGGGAAAGTTGGCACCCTTGCCTCCTCTGTGGGGGAACCTGCGAAATGTCACACTTACAAAAGTGTTAGGCGATTTTTCACCTGCCAGAGCACCCTAACCTGCAAGATTGAAGAGGTAAAGATGGAAATTTCCCTTATCCTGCAAGATTTACAAAAGCTCCAGTAGCTGGTCACGGAGGCGGAAGCATGGCTTAGTCATGTGGAGGATGATTTGCCACCATTACAGGTTACCACTGAACGCTTGCAACATCAGCTTTATACAGTGCTGCAGAAGCAAGACGACATGGAAAACAGACTTCGAAGGTGCTATCTCAAATTCATTGGTCTACCGGAGGGTGTGAAGGGCTCGGATCCGGCTGCTTTCTTGGAGTCGTTGCTCACTAATACCTATGGCAGGTAGGCTCTCTCCCCCACCTTCGTGGTGGAGCGCGCCCATCGCCTGGCCTCTAGGCCTCTGCCAAAAGGTACACCACCACGCACATTTATTGCCAAATTCCTGAACGATCGTGATCGGGACACTATCCTTTGCCTCTCCAGGGAAAAGGGAAGCATCCATTTTCAGAACTTCCCTCACCCCCTTTCCCTTCCACCCTCCTCCCCCTTTCCCTTCCACCCTCCTCCCCCTTTCCCTTCCACCCTCCTCCCCCTTTCCCTTCCACCCTCCTCCCCCTTTCCCTTCCACTCTCCCCCCCCTTTCCCTTCCACCCTCCTCCCCCTTTCCCTTCCACCCTCCTCCCCCTTTCCCTTCCACCCTCCTCCCCCATTCCCTTCCACCCTCCTCCCCCATTCCCTTCCACCCTCCTCCCCCTTTCCCTTCCACCCTCCTCCCCCTTTCCCTTCCACTTTCCTCTCCCTCCCCCTTTCCCTTCCACTTTCCTCTCCCTCCCCCTTTCCCTTCCACTTTCCTCTCCCTCCCCCTTTCCCTTCCACTTTCCTCTCCCTCCCCCTGTCCCTTCCACTTTCCTCTCCCTCCCCCTTTCCCTTCCACTTTCCTCTCCCTTCCCCCCCCCCCCTTCCAACTTTCTCTTCCAGCTTTCCCTCGCCCCTTCCTCGCCCCTCCCCCTTCCTCGCCCCTTGCCCTTCCCCCTTCCTCGCCCCTTTTGCCCTTCCCCCCTTCCTCGCCCCTTTTTGCCCTTCCCCCTTCCTCGCCCCTTTTGCCCTTCCCCCTTCCTCGCCCTTTTGCCCTTCCCCCTTCCTCGCCCCTTGCCCTTCCCCCTTCCTCGCCCCTTGCCCTTCCCCCTTCCTCACCCCTTGCCCTTCCCCCTTCCTCCCCCTTTTTGACTTTTATTACACAGTACCCCGGAATCCCTACAGTGTGATTGGGGGATTTTAATATGGTTATAGATCCTAGTCTAGATAAATTGGATTACAACCCCTCTGTCCATACCCCATCCTATGTTACTCGATTTGGTAAACTCTTGACGAAATTTGTGCTGGTGGACACCTGGAGGTACTTGCATTCCACGACTAAAGCTTACTCTTGTTTTTCTGCTTCCCACTCAACTGTCCCGCATAGACTACATATTTATATCCAAATCACTTACCTAAGTTGGAGGAGGTAGGTTTTGCCCCTCTGGTATTATCTGACCATGCTCCATACTGGATGACACTTCGACAACCTTCTTCTTCTTCTTCTTATATATTTGGAAGCTGAACCCCTTCTGGTTGATTATCCTCTTGGATTTGGAAGGCGTGCAGGCCGATTGGGATTATTTCTTTGCCAATAATAAGGGGTCAGCCGATTACGGGACAGTCTGGGACTCTTTTTTTTTTTTTTTTTTTTTTTTTTTTTTTTTTTTTTTTTTTTTAATTGCACACCCATGGTTTCTTTTGTGTCCCGCATCTCTAGGTACAAGTCCGCATCCAGATTAGTTGTTCAGCAGCCGGAGGAACTATTGCTAGACCCAGAACACTCTTTACAGGCAAACCCTTTGGGTGAGGCCGCTTCCCTAGTTAAACTACAGGCTCGCTTGGTTAATTGCCACCAGCTGATTTACATATATGGGCGGTAACAAGCCCATTATCAATAATGCATGTAAGGTAGGCATTTCATTGGTCCTGATGAAGCTGAGTGAGATACGCCGATCTACGAAACGCATTGCCGTCATACGGCAGATATGTCACTTCCGGTCGTACGCATTGGCGCCACACACAGTCCTCCAGGGGAGGCGGCAATACACGCTGGCCACAAGCAGTGCAAGGCTGCGCAAGTACCAGGATGGGAGCAGAGCCAGTTTACTTGTAGTTCCGATGGTGGCGGCTGCCTCCGGGACCATGGGCGGTTATCCCTATGAAGGGAATTCTGCAAGAGTTTCACCTAAGGCACGGATGGATGGGGACATCATGTCAAATTATCTGAAGGTGCATCGCACCCTTTGTTTATCATAAGGCACGGATGATCCTGTATTTCATATTACAACATTATCATTAAGGAGGTGTGCAGCCCGCATGTTGCGGTGAAGAACCCCTTTTTGGCAGGGCCCTGCCATTTCTACAATAGTGTGGAAGTCATACAGTGACAGAACTATGGCCATCAAGTTCATTTTATCTAGTATCATGGACATGACTGGTGCTGTTTGATATCTCACCAACTACTCTTGCTATATTAACCTACCGTAACTATCTGTTCTCGTTATTATACAGTTAGTGGTTGTGGAGGCAGATTGTCTTTTATATTTATATTTTTCTACTGTCTATATACACCTGCAAAGGTTTATTGGGCTACTGTATTCGCTACCTGGTACATATGATCAGCCATATACTGCATTGTTTGCTATGCCATATTTGGTACACTTTTTTTGAAACACCCCCTGCTTGGTGGTATAACCATTGTGTCAGTGCTGCATTTGTATTAGACATATTGTCACTATATATGCAGCACTCTATTACTTTGACCAGTCATGACATCTGGTTTTAAGTGATTTAAGGTCAATTGTGATGTATTATCTCATACTGAGGTGATGGTGAACTGAGGTATTTACCTTATATGTCCATTTGTGTATTGTATAATAAAGCATAATTTTTTTCGCATACTGTCCATAATTTAACCGCTTTTCTGTGAATCTTTCACGCTCCTTTTTTGCTGTATGGTGTTTTGGTTACTGGGCAGATAATGTATGTTAGCGATACGTGTTATTTTATAAGCCCCTTAATCTTTCTATTTTTACTTGCTTGGTTAACCCTTTGAGGACCGTAAGGTTTTGGAATGCCAAAAGAATCAATTTTTTTGTTTTTAAAGTTCGTACACTTCAGTTGCTGTAACTAAGCCATTTCATGAAATAATTGGCAAAAAGCTAGATCCATTTGTTGTTTGTTGATAAGAAGTAATATTTTGACTCAAACCAAAAAAAAAGAGTTTTAAGTTC